TCAGTTTTCATTTTTATTTTAGTAACTTTTTTGTAATTTTGTGCTTTGTCATATTTATTCGTTTTTTAATATACTATTTTTTATTTAGTGATAGTCAGTTTAGTGCTTCAAAAAAAACTAGATGAAGATAGAAAAGAAAATAGATATGTTGCCCTAGCAACTTATTTATCTTTTATTTATTTATATTTAATCTATTTCAGCATTATTTTAATTGACACCAAACTATTTTAATTTTAGTTTTTTTTTTTTTTTTAGTCCATGATAATAACTGAAATAAAAGATATTATAATTTATAAAATATTATTAAACTACACTTTTTCCAAGTTACCGAGACAGCGTCTCATTTTCAACTTTTTAACTTAAAACTTAAAAATAACTGAAACTGAAAATAGACAAAACTACACATTATCATTTGTAGAAAATATAGAAAATACAAAAGTAAAAACTAAATTAAAATATTAATAAACATTATAATAACAGTATCTCGCTGATACTAAAATAACACAGATTTGTATCACTAATAAGTGACATAGAGAAATATATTTGATATATCATGATGTTTTATGTTAATGCTTATTTTAATTGCATCTAGTTATAAGCCATTTAGACGAACCTTTTAAATAAAATATTCATGATACTGTATTTACTCACTGTTAAAAGCTAAACTAAATCCATAAAATGTAATAATGCCTTTAAAGGAGTCTTTTGACCTTTGACTGCACAGAACTTTAGTTCTATATTTCAAACGACTTTTTGTAGTGAATGTTGGAATTGTTTCTCCTGAGCTTCTGCACTGTATTCTCGTGCTCTGCTATATTTAAACTCCAGCATCTCTCTCTCGTCTCCGGCAGAGCTGAACCTGGATGGAGCCCAGAGGCTTCAGATATTGATCACCAGCTAGAAAGGTGAAGTGACCTTCAAAAGCTGATCCACTGACTTTGAACAGGCCGCTTAAAGAGATGTAATTAATGCGGAAACCTGCGTGCCGGCAGCATTTGATTACCTGGAATAGACCAGGGGAGCCCAAGGCCTGCTGGGACGTTTCTGCACGATCGAGGTCTGTTTCAACTCTGACACACATCTCATAGAGAATTCACCACATGCGTGAGTTTTGTTTATGTCAGGCGACTGGCTCGTGAAATCGCATGGATAATTATGTTCATTTGTGAGCATAATTACCACCGGTTTCATTTGATTTATTTGTAGCTGGAGTACAATTGCATCTTCCTTTAGACATAATTAGCAGCGTGTGGATTTAGCAGGCATTATGCTTCTGACGACGGCATTTCAGGCCATATTTACATGAGGATGTGTGTGCAACATGAAGAAATAAGCTATTAGGGTTTCATTTCCATGTCTTTGGCAGCAAGTCTCTTTGTTGCTGAATAAATGGCACACCGCAGAAGGATATGAGAGTGTTTGAGGTGTATTATAGGAGACTTGAAAGATGTGTCTACTAATATTAACCGGTTTGAAGCTGCAGGGTCATACGAGATCATATGCCATTGTGCACACAAGCGTGAACAATGTTGGACACGTCATTGCAATGACCTTCTGAAACGTCTCTGTTTCAGTTCAGTTAAATGTTTTGTTGGCACGACAATTGGGAGTATAGTATTACCAAAGCATTAACATTATTTTTTACATGCAAAATGCTTATAAATATAATAATAAAAAGAACAATGAAAGAGGAAGAGGAAAACAGTTTAATCTTTTAAAATTATTATTATTCATTAGATTTTTCCATTTCCATCATGCAAGGTTTGTGCTGAAAATACAGCAGGTTTCCAATGAAGTTTTTCTAAGAGATTGATTATTAGTTCTCTACTGACCTCTTGAGTAACAAAGCTGAAGTACACCTCAGGACAAAAATATGGTTAGTGCAAAAAAAAAAGATTAAACAAATTAACATTTGTTTAAAAATGAGGTGTACATTACACATTATAACATAAATATTCCTCAAAATATAACCTTTTTTTTTTTTTTATTGGCAGGGTTTTTGCAGATTTTATAAAGACAAATGTAAGACTTTTTAAGACCAAGTAAACAAAATAAACCGAAGACTCAATTTGTCAATATGGTAAATGTCAATATGTAACACACAATGAGTTGCATTCGCAACACTTCAGACTTTTAAGTAACAATCTCCATTACCTTTTAATTAATTTTTTAAAAAATAGCTTAAAGGAACACTCCACTATTTTTGAAAATAGGCTCATTTTCCAACTCCCCTAGAGTTAAACAGTTGCGTTTTACCGTTTTCGAATCCATTCAGCCGATCTCCGGATCTGGCGGTAGCACTTTTAGCTGTAGCTTAGCATAGATCATTGAATCTGATTAGACCGTTAGCATCTCGCTCAAAAATGACCAAAGAGTTTCTATATCTTTCCTATTTAAAAACCGACGGAAAAGGAAATGTTGCGATTTTCTAGACCGATATGGCTAGGAACTATACTCTCATTCCAGCGTAATAATCAAGGAACTTGATTTCAGGTGCTGCGTAATATTGATCATTACGCCGGAATGAGAGTATAGTTCCTAGCCATATCGGCCTAGAAAATCGCAACTTTTCATTTTCCGTCGGTCTTAGTACACGATGTAACTACAGAAGAGTCAAGTTTTGAATAGAAAAAATATCGAAACTCTTTGGTCATTTTTGAGCGAGATGCTAACGGTCTAATCAGATTCAATGATCTATGCTAAGCTACAGCTAAAAATGCTACCGCCAGACCCGGAGATCGGCTGAATGGATTCGAAAACGGTAAAACTCAACTGTTTAACTCTAGGGGAGTTGGAAAATGAGCCTATTTTCAAAAATAGTGGAGTGTTCCTTTAAGGCTTGAATAGCTTTGCTCCTGACCACTAAAACAAGGAAATATTTTACTCTACCTGCCCCACATGAAAAAATACTATAGTAATTTATAGTAAATACTATAGTGTTTTTGAACCATACTATTGTAAAGTGTATTATACTGTATATATTATAGTATTTACGACACTTTGTTAATAATGCTACAGCATACTGTATAGTGAACTGATAAACTGTAATAAATACTGTACTATACTTTAGTTTTTACTACGGTAAACTGTAATGTATTGTAGTATAATATACCCTATAGTTGTTGAAAACTTAGGTCAGTATTGGGTGAAGTAATTTGCTTATATTACTATAGATGTTACATTACCACAGCAACTATAGAATTACCACAACAAATTAATTCAAGTACTTCACTATAGTATGGTTCAAAAACACTATAGTATTTACTATAAATTACTATAGTATTTTTTCATGCACAGAAAAATAGTTTATCTCTTTTTCCAGTGCAAATGTCTAAAGATTCTTAAATCAAGATGAATTTATAAGCAAAATGACATCTGGTAAGAAATCTTGTTTCCTTAGAAATGTATCAAAATGAAGTGAGCTTGATTAAAACAAGAACAAATACCCGCCAATGGGTTGAGAAAAAAATCAGGGAAAACAAGTTTTCACATTCCATTGAGAGATATTTGTTCTTGTTTGAAGCGTAAACTTGCTTAATTTTGTTCAGTTTCTCAGAACAAAGTACCTCAAGTAAATATATCTTCATTTAAGAATGTCCAGATATTTGAATTGAAAAACCGAGACAAAAATACTGTAAGAATTTTGCAGTGTGACATTTTATGCCATGACTATATGAATTTAAGACCGTAATTTGACCATAAATACCTTTTTTAAACCCTGTATCCGCCTTTCAAGTTATTGGTTTATGTTTAGCATGTCTGTCAGCTTGAAATATTAGGCTATGTATACAGGCTGAAGAAATAAAAAAAAAAAAACCTGCAACATCATGTAATAATATCGATTTATTTTTTCCAATTCCATATTTGTGATCACAGTGTAGACGTCCAAATCAGTAACAATAACTCCAGAATTTGTACAAAATCAAAACACTGGGGACACAACTTTGCAAAAGTCATACTGAATGACACTGAATTCGATCCAGCATTCTATTAAAATTACAATCCATTACTTTAAAAACGCACAAAAACATGTAAAAGCTGCCAGCTGAATCCAATGTACAGAAAACACCAGTGAAGATTGAAACAGTATCTTTCGAACGATATACTTACAGTACCATGACAGAGTCGATCACAATCAGTTATAAATAGTCAAGTGATAAAATGTGAAGGTTTTCTTTAGTGCTACCTGACGTGATCAAACAGGACTAGAACTACTTTAATACCAAATCAAATACAAAGAAAGAACAAAACAAAAGAACCAAAGAAACATGGACTTAGAGTATCACATACAAACCAGTGAAAACAGAGAACACTGAAGTATAAAAACACAAAAGACAGACAGAAATATAGCGCAGCCTGTAGTGCATCAGTGGTTGCTGTGACACTGACATCTACCTAAATCGAAATCGGAGTTTTCAAAAGCTATTTTCTGGTGAGCGGCACATATTTCCTCTGGGCTGATTATCAGTGACAGCATAATTTAGCAGAACTGAGAACTTACCAGCTGTTAGACAACACCTGCAGCTGGAGGTCAAACTAAACCAATAACAGCTCCTTAAAAACAGAACGCAACTGACTGTAAATGGTGCAGATTATTCACATCAAACCAATAAAATCAACAAGCACTATGGAGGCCCTCTGGGTGCGTTTCTGGTTATAAGAAAATGTTATTTTATAGATCAATCTTTTTTATTATTATTTTCAGGCCCATTGCTACAGCAAGACACTACAGGTGAATAGGAAATCACCTCACTAATCATAATACATTAAAACAAATGTTCTGAACTACATTTCTGAAATGTTATGTTTAAATGAAGTATTATTTAATAAAATGTGCACTCATTTGAATAACTTCCAAAATATAAACTAAACTCTGGATAAAGCCAGGTTCGAAATTCGTTTTCATTTCATTTTTTTGACCTATTAAAGGTTTTTAAATCGAAGGGATTTTAGATTTCTCATTTTATCACTCCATAAATCAGAAAATACTGTCAATGCCGTTACAGTTATGTACTGTAATTGAAATCTACAGATGCAAATAGATATAATAAACACCTAAATGTGCATTTTAGATGCTTGCTTTCCACTATACTGAAAGTAGACATGTAATGAAAGCAAAATTGCCCAAAATCTCAAAACTGGTCAGTGCATCAAAAAATGGGTTTGCCTGTAGTGTCTTGCTTTAAAGGGATTCCAATGCACAGCATCATACTTTATTTAATCCATCTGATCTCTCGTGAGGTGAATTTAGCGTCATTTCGATTCAGGATGCAACCTTTAACATTCAGTAACATCTCTCCTTGATAATAATACCTAACACAGTCGCCCTAGTGTCAGACTGAGCACTCTGAGCGCTGACTCAAGCCCGAAAGCTCCAGCTCCTCTGGAAGGGCTGGAAGGGTTTCTTCAGAGTGAGGAACATCAGCTGAGGTTTGAGTCTCTGGGGTCTCTCTGGGAAAACCGCCGCCTCGCTTTCAGCGCTGGGAAAGCGTCTGCGGTAGATGTCAGGATGAGATCTCTGGAACTGACACCCAAGAAATTATTTTTTTTTTTAAATCACACAGGGGAAAATAAACATAGTGTGTCTCAGATTTCAACGTTTCTGTAACACATCGGCCTTTTAGAACAATATGTAGTTGACATTTAAAGAAAGATTCAGTTTAAAACAATTCCATCTCTATCAAGGCTATAGACAGAACTCTGAGCAATTCAATCACACCATTATATTTGTGATAAGTCTACTGTAAATACATGTCACAGTTTTCATGTAGTAATGCACACCATGTGACAGATATTCCTTTAGCCCCTAAGACATGTGAAAAGGATCCTCTCTAACCTGCTTCAGCTTCTTCTTCTTGTCTTTAATGGACATGTTCTTGTCTTGTATGATGTTCTCCAGTAGTTCCACCATGGCCCCTTGAGATCCAGAGACCCTCTGCTGCTCAAACTCCTCTCTGCTGATCTGTCTGCAGAACGAGTGAGGTGGAGACGCCATGGTGGTGTCCGTGTCTGCACCCGCATATTTTATCTTGAAAAAAA